GTGCTTGCAAGCACTGAAAGCACCACATCGACACATGCATTGACTCCCACTGCCACGCGGCGCCAGCGCTGGACCGGCTGCACGATACGTGCGTCCCAGGTGGCCGCCAAGCGGCCCTCGGGGGAGACGGGTCCCTGGGGCGGGGACTCCGGCATCAGCGAGCTCCAGAGTGAGCGTAGCGTCGAGCCCGGAAGCTCGGGCTCCAGCAGCAAGAGGCAGCCCACTGCCAGCGCCAGGAAGCCAGCGTACGCAGAACCGCGCCAAAGCGCCAGGGGAACGACACAGGGCAGCGGCGCCGTCAGACTCCTCGCCTGGCCCGCACCTCTTCCGGGCTCAGCGCGGCGACGTCGGCACCAGCGTCACGTCACCAGCGTTACGTCACTCCGGCGCGCCACGGGCCCGAGGGGCGGGGCGACAGCCCGGGCGCTGACGCCAAGCGCGGGGAGCCCTTTAGACCTGCATTTTGTTGCTTATCTCAAACCCTCTCTCCATATTATCCATTCTCTTCTTATTTCTCCACTTTTTTTTACTTCATCATCATAACACAGTGGTAAGATGTTTTGATTCCAGAGGCAACCTTTCCAAGTTCAAATCCCAGCTGTGCCTGTAACAAACTGTGTGGCCCCATGCAAGTTATTGAATGTCTTCTGTGCCTCTGCGCTCTCATCTGTGAAATGGGATGGTAATAATAGAATATATTTCATAGGCTGATGGTGAAGGTTAAATGAGTTAAATATTTGCAAAATGCTTCAAACAGCACCTGGCTCATAATAAGTACTAAATCAGTGTTTGATACAGAATACAGTTAAGTGGATTTATTTGGTTCTTTTTATCTTGTTTAATTATATGTATCAGTCAACCCAAAATTTTCTAGAACAAAATGACAGAGAGCACAGTGTCTAAGATTACAGATTTAGAAGTCCAAGAGACCAGTCATCTAATCTCAAACTGTGAATTTTATTAGCTCTGAGGACATAAATAAGTTTTATAAGTCCTTTTAAACTTTGAATCTTCGTATGTAAAATGGGGATAGTAATTGTACAAACCTCCTGGAGAAAGGTCATGAGAATTAGCTAGGTTATTGGGTACAAAGAACTTAATTCAGTGCATAGTAAGTTAAAGCTATAGCTGTAAGAGTAATTGATCATTGTGAAACAATTATTAATAGTATTAGGCAAACAGAAATTCCTGTGTCAAGAATGATGAACTTAAATAGCTTTAGAAATAAAAGTACATTAACTCTGTGGCACGGTAGGGAAACTTGGTATCTCTGATGGTGTCATGGCTGGCATTTCAGCAACTGCAAGGGAACTTATGGGGTGAGGGAATTGCAGAAATAATCTCACAGATGTAATATACGAAAAGTACATTTTAAACTCCAGTGGAAACTCCATAGAAGTTGATCTTTAGAGCCATTTTCTCTAGCTAGGGTGTCAATTGTCCCCTTCATGGAAAGATATTGATCATAAGGCAGAAAATGTCACTTAAAAAGCTTCAGGGTTTAAATATCAGGGGTGGAACCAAGTTGAGAAGCAATCATCAGAACTTTGTCTCTGAAAGTAGAAAAGCAAATCTTCTAGCTTAAACAAGAAATTGTCCTTCCCATGCCATATTAGCCAAGGCCCAGCACTGGATTTGTGAAAATACTGCCAGGCTAGGATCTGCCCAGCCTTCGGCCGGGCGTATTTCAGAACCTCATGATGAGTGAAGGCTGCTTTAATCCTCTCTGGCCATATCTCTTTGACTGTGTTATGCTGTGCTTAAACTTTAAATAGGCATGACAAATGATGGGGTTTCCTGAAAAAAATGTAGATTCTGAATCAAAAGATGTGGTGTGGAGGCTAAAATCCTGCATTTCTAACAGGAGGCTTTTGGTCAATGTTGCAAGTCCACTCTAGAACATTGTTATTCCTGGCAGTGTGCATCATAGACCTCACCTGGGAGCTCTTAAGGAATGCAGAATCTCTGTCCCCTCTCCAGACTACTGAGTGGGCATCTACATTTCAGCAGGACCCCCAGTGATTCAAATGTACATGAAAGTTTGAGAAGTACTTCTCTGAAATATATGTGGACCAGTTTTCCCTAGGCTTTGATTGCATAACTCTCACTTGCATAGGGAAGCAAGTTTTGGTACCCAAAAGTCCTGAACTGTAAATTATCTTGCTGCAGCAGACGTTAGTGATGCTCTGCCTGCATCACCTCTGATCCCTTTGCCATTTTCATGCACAAGACCTCCGTGGGCTTTCACTCCCTATAGCCAGCACCGGTGTCTCTTTGTTAGCTCGTCCCTCCAGATGCTAGTATCCACTGTGCCTGCCAGCAAGGAGAGCAGAAAGTCCCTGCGAATTTTTATTCCCTTCAGCAGTCCTTAACCGAGATTAGGCACAGGATTTCTACACTGCAGCTCCCTTGTCACTCATCAGAAAACTCAATTTGGAGGTGAAGTCTACAAAGGGAGGGATTAAGCCAAAGTTACCAACTATGGGATTTTGCTTGGTTTCACCCTTCTGCCTTCTCCTTTCTCTGTCCTGCTCACTCCTCTATAGTGTTGCCAGGGAACACTTTGTAATAAACCCATTCTTCACAAATCCTTGTTTAACTGGGGGACTCAAAGTCAGACACATGCTGTTTTAGCTCAGTGCGATATAGCCCGAGACCAGCACCAAACCGAGAGTTCAGATTGTTTCTAAAGTTCCTTTTGTCACTGCTTTAGTCCACCAAATCTTTGATTCAGACTGGGTCAGGTCTTATGAATATCACAAAAGGCTGCAGGAAGCCATTGGATTCCAGGAATTCCACACTTGGGAATTCAGATGCTCACATTCTGAGAATGTGATGAAAAGAAATTCTGCTTTACTTTCTGAATGAGCTAACTGTGGCTATGAGGTGAGGGTGGTGATGATGCTGTCCTTCAGCTGGCTTTATGAAGGACCCTTGGAAAGAGCGAAGGATCTAGAAGACCTGCACTGACCAATGCGACAGCCACAGCCATGCGTGGCTGCCGAGCACTTGAAACATGGTTAGTGCAAATTGAGATGGTCTGTAAAGTGTAAAATCTACACCTCATTTCAAAGATTTAGCATGTCAAAAGAAGGTAAAAGATTTCATTAATAATTTTTATATTGATTACATGATTAATAATATTCTGAAAATTTGGTAAAATGTACTGCTACAATTAATTTCACCTGCTTCTTTTTACTTTTGTTAATGTGGCTATTAGAAAATTTTAAATTACATATGTGGCTTTCCACATTTGATTTCTATTGGACTGGATGTAATGAAAGCCTTAGCCTTCAACCTAAAAGGTCAGACCAAGTTAAATCTCCCCAACTCTTTCTAATGCCTTTACTGTACTTATTTCTGGTGTGGAATTGGCCCCAGTAAACATACAAAACTGTTCCTTGCCCTCAATTATGAATACTTTTACCAAAGCATAAAGTTGCCATGGAGATAGAAATGTCTGCAGTTTGAAGCTTAGCCCCCCAAAAATTATACCAGAAACATATTTTAAAAACCAGTGCCAGTAGTTATTACTCTTAGTTTAAAATTATGTAATTTGAGGAAAACTGATTTTCAAGCTATTAAAAAATTATTCCGATGCTTTTCTCTGTCTGTGCACATCATATTTAGTGGTCAGTAATTTTGCTTGCGTCTCACAGCTTGTCTGTGCTGTCTTTTCTAAGTCCTCTGACAAAATATAGAGGTCAGGGCCTCAGCTGGACAATTGCAGCTTCCTAATTGAGTCCCTCCTCTTTGGATTCTCAGCCTCAATTCCATCCTCGACTTGGCTGCCAGATTATCTTATCACCCCACATTATTAAAAAAAAAAAAAAAAGGCCTGTGGTAGTAGCACATATTTTTGCTAATGTATCCCCAGACACATAAACACTCTCCATACTCTGACGCCAACTCTACTTTTTTGTTGCAACTCCCTCTCTCTTTTCTAATTCCTATTAGTCTACTTTTTGTTCCCTCTGAGTTCCGACGTGTTTACTCACCTCTGGTTCCTTTCCCAGACAGTTTTCTCCACTGAGAACCACACCCCCTTCTCTTTCCGGTCACTCTACGCCCCCCTGTTCTTGCAATCCCATCTCAAATGTTACTGTGTCACCGGACAGTGTATTATCAGTGCCTTAGGTCAGGAAACAAAAAACAAAAGACAAACCAAACAGCAATAGAAATAACAAAAAACTAGGTGGCAAAGTTGTTAAACTAAAAGACATTAGTTCATGAAAGAGGGAGCCAAGTCAGCTACAGCAATATCAGATAGATGAGTACTTAGATCTCATGTCATCTTCTCTTGGAGAATTTTGTAGGGTTCAGGGCCCAGAATGTTTACTGTGTGTTCTAAATCATCACCCAAAACAAAGCTTCAACTTTATTGTCTAGACCCTCCCTATTTTCTTGGAAGGTAAGTGACATCACTGCTGAGTGGTGTGGGGCAGAGATTGGGAGAGTAGGGAGGGACCGGCAGAGTTGCGAGGAGGGAGAATACTGTAAATCGTGTGACACTGTGACTGTGACTAGTTTAGAGAATTTCTAGAACTGTAGTTAACATTTAAAGATCCCCGATATAGCTGCTTTGGCATGAGTAGCAAAGCAGGAAGATTATGTGTGCAGTTCTGTTGTAAATTTGTTTGACCATATTTTAAACTTTCCTATAACTCTTTATCTGTTTATGATTCAAGGAAAAATAGTAAAAAATAGCGCTCAGATATTAAAAGGCAAGATAGCAATTACCTTCCTTTTTAAATAGGGATTTTAAAGAGCACAAAAAGTTTTGTTTGTATATAAAGAATATTTCCTTAGGAAAAGAGTAGTCACTCCGGGATTTGTATTTAATTATGTCATATTTACTACCCCCTAAAAATAAACGAGGGGAAAAAAACCTTTGGTCTACAAATTGAACTAATTTGTCTTCCCAGAAGCTGAGCTAAAAGCATGTTATCTAATGACAGTGCAGTATTTAAGCTAATGCAAATGTGATTTACATTTTACAGGAATGGACAAATGAAGTTTTCAGTCTGGCAACAAACCTGTTGGCCCAAAACATGTCCAGGGATGCATTTCTGGAAAAAGCGTAAGTTGCTCTAATTTTATTGCTAAGGGTGTTGCTGCTTCTGAGTCAGTTTCCTTTCTCCTTGGTGAGTCTTTTGTTTGGGCTGCACTGACTTCTCACGTTGGTAAACATAAATTTCCCTTTGGGATTTGTCAGAGAACTGATACCTCCCCTGTCCAGAACTGGAAGCCCTCCAGGAAAGATCCTCCAAGCTGCGCATCCGTGTTTCACCTGGGCTGAGCTCACCTGAATGTCAATGCCTTTGACACATAATAAGGAGACATTTCCAAATGCTGCCAGCTGTCCTCAGAACTAAAAATTATTAATTTCAAAGATTCCTCTGCTCCTACATCTGCCTGTGTCTTCTCAATTATTAATCTGAGGAATAGCATATGTTCCTTATTTCTCTGGAGTCATAGATCTCTGATAGATGCTTCAATAACTTCCCTGCCAACTTAAATCCATAGACTGATGTCCTAATTCCAGCCTGTGTAGACCATCCCAGGAAATGGTAGTAAGGAAAGAGAAGAAAAAATGTAAAAGAAAGAGCACAGGGAAAAGAAGAAAAGAAAAGCAAAACAGATTACCAGGTCACTCTGGAATTGCAGCAGTCTTTTGAAAAATTGTTTGACCAAGGAAAATAATGACTTACACCAGATGAGCGGGGAGGAAAGCTGGTTGTGATCATTTTGGAAGCTGCGGCCGTTCAGGAGGTTGAGAAGCCTTTAAATCAAAACCACAAGTGGAAACATTAATAGGTGGTCCTCTGTTTTATTTAACGGTGTTTCTCTCTTCCCTCTTCTTACGTAAGACATACCCATAATTCCAGATCTAATATTTAAGCCACATTTCTTTTTTACTCTTCTATGAATTACTTTTATTTTCAGTGAGTACCTCACAGGGCTTCATTTAAACGCTTTTTAATGGAGTCACGTCCTCTCCTGAGTGTGCTACCTTAGGGACCCTTCCACACACCTCCACTTTCCCCCTTCCTTTCTTCCTCCTTTTTTTTTTTTTACCCTGCCTTTGATTTTATCATCCTTATTCTAACAAACATTTCTAGAACATCTACTATTCCAGGCAATGTTAATGGAAGGGGATATAGAGATATATAAGATGTTTTACTCAAAACCATGTTAACCTAGTTGTCTAATCATTATCTATTACAAACGTCTATAGGTGCCTCCTATGGACATTCTAGAACCGGTCTTTTGGTGAACATATTGTAAACATTTTTGTTGCATACACACCTAGATATGGGTTTCTGGGTCACAGTGTGTGCGGTTTCCTGAAGCAGTATTCCCAATTTACATGTCCATCAGCAGGGATGGAGAGTTCTGTTGCTCCATCTCTTACCTGTATGTTCATAAGCAGTTGAAGATATAAATACAGTTGTTATATTCATACAGTGAAATAGCATACAGTAATGAGAATATCTACAACTATAAGCAAAATATGGATGGATCTCAAAAACATATTATTGAAAGAAGTGAAAACACAAAAGAATGTGATTACTTTATGTAAGGTACAAAACCAGGCAAAAATAATCTATGTTATTTAAAGTCAAGATAATGGTTCCCTTTGGGGGATAGACCCTGGCAGGGAGTGTGGGAGGGGCTTCTGGAATGCTACTCAAGTGACAATATTCTATTTCTTGATCTGAGTGCCAAATTGTGGAGACTTGGGCAGTTAATGAAAATTCAGCAAACTCTACATAGGCATGGGCCTTTGTCTGTGTATTTTATTTTAAAATAAAAAGCTTTTTTGAAAAAATTAAACTCTTGTTTTTCTGCTTCTCCAACAGCTATACTAAACTTAAGCTGCAAGTCACTCCAGAAGGGCGTATTCCTCTCAAAAAGTAAGCTTCGTGAGCATTTCCCGTTATTCATTTTCTTTTTCTCGAAGATTTGAATCTGTGCCATGGCTCTGTTTTGTTTCTCCACCGGCCTGAGTGGGAGCATGCCCGTGTCACCTCTTGCGTGTCTCACGTCAATGCAGCTGGTTTCCTCATAGACATTTCCCTGGAGTCCCCCTTTCCTGTGGCTTCATTTTCAAGAAACACCAAAGCAGGAAGTGGGTGGAGAGAGGGGGGGAGAACCTTGCTACTAAATCCAAATGACCGTCTGAGATTTAGAGCTATTCTACGGGGTGGAAACTGGGCGACCCAAAGGTCACCTCTTTCTAGCAAAATGGCTCTAGCCCTAAAGTGGGGGTTGCAAACTCAGATGCTAACAGGAGCCAGGCAGGGAACTGAAATGATGAAGCAGGAAGTAGGAAGGAAAACTAGAGCATTAAACCTGTCCAAAGGAGA